AGAAAATGGGGGGTCACGTATGGGCACAAAAGAACACTTTGCCTATATTGTTGGCCAGGCACTAAAGATTATTGACATCTTTGACAGTGGTTTAGTTAGCCAGAAGAATTCGGAACTTCAGCAACAGATCAATAAACTAGCTACCAGAGATGAAATAAGTGAGTTAACTGAAAAATCAAATAGGATAAAAGATGAGGTTTCAGAAATTAGAGAATCTGTTAAAACCTTACATAGTGGTCTAGTGTGTTCGTGTGATGAAACTGTTTGTCGGAATATTGCTTCAATTGAGTCACATCTGGGAGAAACACTCAAAAAGGATGAAATTACTGAAACATTGAAGGCAACTAAAAGATTGCAAGATGAGTTGACAGAAATAAAGGAAACATGTAGGGTAATTGGGAATATGATTGGCGGAGTGGAGCCAAAACCCCTATATAGTGAAATCGTTAAAGAAGGAACAAGTGCAGTAATGCAACACTTAAAGATCTCACAGGGTACATTGCTGGTCTATCCAAAGGACAGTGGAATCAGTTCCGAGGATGCTAGGAATACTATAAAAGAAAAGATAGACCCCATCCAGTTAAAAGTTGGAATAAAGGGATTTAGAAAAATAGAAAAAGGGGGAATAGCTATAGATGTATCTAGGGAAAATGAAATTATAATTTTAGAAAAAGATATTAATGATAAAATCCCAACTTTCAAAACGATTGTTCCAAATAAAAGGAAGCCAAAGGTAGTTATCAGACAAGTTCCGAAACATTTAGAAAAGGATGAAATCATAAATTGCATCTATGATCAGAATGAAATAATTTTTTCTAGACTTGAGAAAGACAAATTCAAGGAGGACTTTGGATTGAGATTTGCCTTTGGAAAAGGAAGGAACGACATGATTAACTGGGTGGCTGAAGTCACTCCAGACTTACTGAAACTTTTCAACACAATAAAGAAAATTAATATCGAATGGGCAAGGTGCAAAACAGAAGAACATCACTCTATAGTGCAATGCTATAGATGTTGCAAATATGGACATACAAGCAAGAACTGCAAAGATCCACAAGAGATATGCAGCCAGTGCACAGGTAGCCATAGGTACAAAGATTGCCCACATAGAGACAGAAAGCCGAAGTGTCACAATTGTGTTCAACAAAAGGAGAAAAATAGTACACATAATGCATTTGATAAGTGTTGCCCATCATACAAACATATAAGAAGCCTAATTACATCCAGAACAGATTATGGGGAGTAAAAACAATGGTCTCAAATTTCTGCAACTCAATGTTCAAAGATCTATCAGCGCTATTTCATCTATGTGTGTGGACATTAATAACCATGATATTGCAATCATACAGGAACCTTATTGCATAAAGAATAAAGTGGCCTGTATTCCTCAGAAACACCTAGTCCTCCAAGATTACAATTACTCCCCATGGGCAGCCATTATTGTCCCAAATAACAGGTTAGCAGTTTTCCTGCATAAACAATTTACAACTGTCAACACAGTTTGTATAGAAACCTACTTTGATGATCAAAGTCTGATCATTGTTAGTGTGTACTCACCTGGTAAAAAGGAAATCAATAATGAACTGAAAATTCTTCAGGAGATAAAAGATTATTTCAAGGACAGACACTTACTCATTGCCGGGGATTTTAATGCCCACTCACCTATGTGGGGGGTGAAGAGCTGGACCCAAGAGGGGAGGCGGTTGAAAATTTTCTGGCAGCCAACAATATGTTTGTGGCAAATGATCCTGATTCATTGCCTACATACGAAGGACCTAATGGGAGATCCTGGATTGACATAACTTGTACTACAACAGGATTATTAAATAGTATTAAGAACTGGAGTGTACTTCAAGATTCACTTTCTGACCACAATCTCATTGAATTCAATATAGAGAGTACAACTGGGAACATATCGTATAATTATATCAAGTCTTACAACACCAGGAATGCGGACTGGGAATACTTTTTCCAGTGTCTGGACAAAAATTTGGACCTTAGGACTATGAATAAGGAAGAGAGCGTGGCGGCAGCATATATTGACCGACAAATAAAATTGATTTCCGAAGCATGCGATGAGTGCTTTCAGCTCAAAAAACCAACTGTTAATGCGGTTCCATGGTGGAATGAGGACCTTGCTAAGATGAGGAAGGTTAATAACCAAAATAGGAAAAAATATCAAAAATGTAAAGGCGCAGATAGGGAAAGACTGAAACAACATTACCTGGAGTATCAAGCTAGGTACAAATTGGCCATTAAGGAAGCAAAAATTCAATCGTGGAAGGATTATTGCTCGTCAGCGACAACAGACCCATGGGGTTTTATTTACAAGAGTTGTGCAAACAAATTGAAAACTGCTAACTGCCTTGTAGGACTTTGCGGAAAGGATGGCAAAGAGGCAAATAAAGAGGAAACTATAGAGTTGCTGATGCAAACCCTGTGTCCAGCTGATGAAATCTCAGAGGACAACGACACCCAACTCAAAATAACGGAAGAGACAAGCACATACATTAAAGGACAATGTGCCCCACCATTTACCAAAACTGAAATTGACGAAGCAATTAAACGTCTGGCAGTCAGAAAAGCACCTGGACTAGACGGAATTTCAGCAGACATAGTGAGGAAAATCTGGGAAAATCGTCCGGACATCCTCACTTTTATCTACAACTACTGTCTCCAACACCGTATTTTTCCGACAGAATGGAAAAGTGCAAGAGTTGTGTTAATTCCAAAAATCAGGAGCACCAACATTAAGTCTCCAAATGATTATAGGAATATTTCACTGCTACCCATAATGGGGAAAATACTGGAGAGATTAATACTAAACAGGTTGGACTGGTATTTAAGTAAAAATAAGCATCTACATGAGCAACAGTATGGTTTTCGTACTGGAATGGACACAACAGATGCAATCATATCTGTTACCGCCAAAGTTAAAGAACTACTTTGCACACACCCATATGTCTTGGGATTAAGTCTTGACATAGCAGGTGCTTTTAATTCGGCCTGGTGGCCCTTAATATTGCACAGAATAAAGCAATTCCATTGTCCTGCATACATATACAACATTATAAGGAATTACCTACAGGACCGTACCGCTACGATATGTATAGGTACTCAGAAATATACAAAGGAAATTACTCGTGGGTGCCCGCAGGGCTCTGTTTTGGGCCCCACCTTGTGGAATTTGCTATTTGATGGATTCCTTACAGAAGACTTTGGGAATGAATGGACAACAGCATTTGCGGACGATGCGATGCTTTTGGTAGCGGCATATTCACGCAAGGAAATTGAAGATAAGGCAAACTCAATCCTGGCTAAAGTAAGTGAATGGGGAGCATTAAATAAACTGGATTTTAATCCGGATAAGACAAAAGGAATAATTTTTACTAGGCCTAGGGCTCCTCATCTCTATCGAAGAGTTCCTACAATCAAAATGGGGAATAGGAAAGTTAAAATTGAAAAGTCACTTAAATACCTAGGTATCATTATAAATCATAAATTAAGCTGGCTTCCCCATATTAAATATATTTGTGATAGGACCAACATGATATTTAATGCCTTATCCAAAGTGGCAAAGTCCAAGTGGGGCTTGTGCCCCGAAACAATGAGCACAATATATGAATCAGTTTTCTTGCCAATTGTGAGTTATGCAGCACCTATCTGGGAAGAAGGATTAGGCCAGGTTCATATTGATAGAAAGCTGCAGGCGGCCCAAAGAAGGGCATTACTGCGCATTTGCAGAGCCTACTCAACAGCACCGACAAATGCTCTACAAGTAATAGCTAGTAAATTACCAGTAACACTCTACTTGGACATGATGATACAAAGATGGAAAATGAGGAAAGGGCAAAATATCATAATTGATAATGTAATATATGATAACATTGAAAATACTCAAAAAATTACTCCTAGGGTGGCCCCCTGGGAATGGCCACAAATTGAAAACCAACCATGGAGTGAACAGTCTTACAACGTGTTTACAGACGGCTCTAAAACTAACGAAGGTGTTGGAAGTGCAACAGTAATTTATCATGAAAAGACAGAAATCCAAAACCTCTCAGAAAACTTGGGACAAAAGTGCTCGGCGTTTCAGGCTGAGCTATGGGCCATCCTGAATGCAATCAGATGGTGTAACGAAAATCTAAACAACTGCAACATTAATGTGTTCACAGACTCAAGTTCGTCCCTCCAAGCCATTATAAATTATAACTGGAATCACCCGATTGTAAAAGAAACTCTGATAGAAATGACAAAAAAAAATAATAATAAGTATTCAATAAATTGGGTGAGAGGGCATTCCGGGGTTGTTGGAAACGAGCGGGCAGACGAACTGGCCCGCACAGTCTCCTCTTCAAATAGTACTCCAAGATATACCGCAATTCCTAGGAGTCATATTATCTCCAACCTTAAAGAAACGGCAACACAGAAATGGCAGAACTTATGGGATCAACAAGATAACCAAGTAACAAAGAAATTCTTCCCAAAGGTTTCTACCAATGACAAACATTTTATTAGTCATAACGTTACTCAGTTTTATACCGGTCACGGTAAATTTAGCAGTTACCTATTTCGTTTCAATAAAACAACTGATCATAATTGCGAATTATGTGGCACACCAGACAGTGCTATGCACTACCTCCTGGATTGCCCAATGCTTGAGGATAGAAGAAATGATATTAAATTACTGCTACCAACTGAGGCAAACTGGCCTCAGGACCTATACAAGATCATGAAAATCAAAGAACCTCTTCAAGCATTCATTGATCTGGTAAACACGTATTTTAAAAGAACTAGTGTCAATTAATTAATTCTACTAGCAATGGATTATCTATTAAATTGGAACACAAGCACTGTCCATTATATTGTTAGTCACTAAGGTACATTGTGACGGCATTTTGTTGATGTGTATTTACTCTTTTTCAAATTGTTTTGTTTATATATATACTTAATGTAACTTCTGAAACCAATGTAAAATTGTAAAATTATGTAAATATGTAAACTACCTCAGTGGTGCCTAGCGGAACTGAGGGCTGTAAAAATAAAGATACTTAGTAAATGAAAAAAAAAAATGTCCCTATCTACTGCGGCACCTGGGGTTGGTCCACTAAGAAAGTGCATACGAAGAGAAAACTGATTTCTTCACAGAGACGGGCACTGTTACTAATTACTAAATCTTTCCGTACTGTTAGCAATCGGTGTCTCCAGGTGCTCGCTAGAAGACCACCGATAGACTTGGAAATCGCTCAAAAAGAAAAGTATCAGCAAATTAAATGGGGCAGCACCATTAACATCTCTAACGACACTATTCACCATGAGGACATAGAATGGACCTTCCCATTCAATGAAACTCTTTTTCCAATCGGACAGATAACCAACACTAAGATGGACAATGACGACACCAGTATTAACATCTATACTGACGGATCAAGAATAAATAACTCAGTTGGCTGTGGTCTTGTAATATATGAGAACACTACTGAACTCTCATACCAGACTTACCGCCTTGATGATAAATGCACGGTGTTCCAGGCAGAACTCTTTGCCATTTGGAAAGCCGTCGAGCACATTAATAGGAACTACGATAATATCACTGCCACCATCCATACCGATTCCCTTTCGGCCTACAGGCTCATTAATAGCCCAAAATTACACCCGCTGGCTGAATACATCAGGAATGCGCTGCGGATGTCTTCGTGCAAAATCCAAATTACATGGGTCAGAGCCCATCAGGGGGTGGTTGGCAATGAGAGGGCCGACTCTCTTGCCAAAACTGCCACTACAATGGATAAGAACCAGATAGCCTACAGGAAAATAAGCCAACGAACCCTTCGCAGCATGCTTTGGTCTGACACTGTACAACACTGGCAATCCGACTGGGATCAAATCATGCAGCATGTCACCCATAACTTTATCCCTGACTTACAGCAGTACCTTGCTATAAGGTGGTACACCCCTGACTTCTATGTCAATCAAATTTTAACCGGACATGGGAAATTTGCTAATTACCTTGCGAGGTTTGCAAATGGCAACACTGATGTATGCCCCGTGTGCAACGTCAGGGATGGTCCAGAACACTACCTGTACAACTGCATAATTTTTGAAAGAGAAAGATTCGAGTTTAGTCTTCTACTAGACCACTTCAACATACCCTGGCCGTGTAAGCATCCCGACATCTGGTTAAACAAAGAAATCTACAAAGCCTTCAAAAACTTTGCCAAAAGGATCTACAGTGTAAACTATAACACCATCCACAGCTAATCGTCTCTCCGGCACCATGGTGCCTCTTCCTGCAGTACTTCTACACGCGAACTATGTGTGGCGTCCCTTTCGGACGTTTAAATATGCATTTTTTATATTTTGTACACTACACGCGAACTGTGTGTGGCGTCCTTTTCGGACGTTTTATGTAGGTTTACCCTATATTTTCTTGCTCACTCTTAGAATCTTTTGTACAAACTCTTCAATTGTAGTTATTGTTCATTGTAATCATACCTATTGTTTTCAAGCCCTGGTAATGCTTCTTGCGGGGCCAGGGCATGTACTTTAGTACCAATAAAATACATTGACTGACTGACTGACTGTCCCTATCTACTGGGCAGGACGCCCCAATTTGTTTCGTTACGCTTTTGAAAGTTATTGTGTGTTTTTTAGGCTTTTGCCCCGAGACTACACTCTTTCTTTTTGTGCGTGATAACGATTCCGGGGAAGCAGTAACTGTACCTCCTCGTGGTCCTGCCCGCCAGTAGCCCCTTCTTGGGGTGAAGCTAAATCAGTTACTGCGCTTGTAATATAGGGTACAGTCCTTTTGAGGACTATGGCCGAACGGCCGACGATGGTCGACGGAGAAGACGAGTTGTCGACTCAAGGATTGGATCTTTCCCTCCAGGACGAGAGGGTTGCTATCGCGGAAGGATTACGCGATGAAATTGAGAAATATATGCAAGATAACAATACGTGTAAAATGAAGCCGAAGCATGCGGCATATATTTGTTGAAAAATTGATAAAATAATTGATCTTATGAGGAACATAGAGGTTGACCCAATGCAAGCAGCGATGAAGTCAATAAATGAAAAATTAAATAAAGTTCTTAGTAATGCACAGGTGATTAAAACACCAAGCTATGCACAGGTAACGGCAACAACTACAAGAACAAGTAGACCAAAAGAAATTATTCTGGTGGAGCCCCTTCATGAGGGCGAGGATCCAGAAAAGACAAAAGAACAAATAAAACGACAAGTAAACCCGAAACAAATCGGCGTAGGAATACAGGCCGTAAGAAAATTACGTAAAGGAGGAATAGCTATAGAGGTGAATACTAGTGAGGAAAAAATAAGATTACAACGAGAGATTGTAGAAAAAACAGGCTTGAAGACTAGGGAGCCAATGAGGAGAAAACCGAGACTAGTTATATATGGTGTGGATAAAAATGTTATAAAAGAAGAAGTAATAGATTGCTTATTTGAACAAAACAATATTGTTAATAGCGATATAACATTAGAGGAATTTACAAGAGAAGTAGAGTTAAAGTTTAAGTACGGTAATAGAAACGGAGCTACGGTGAACTGGGTGGTGGAGGTGAGTCCAAGAATGAGACAGATATTAATGTCCAAGAGGAAAATAAACTTGGGATGGTCAAAATGTGGAGTTGACGATTATATAAACGTCACGCAGTGTTATAAGTGTTGCAGAATAGGTCATATTGCGAAGAGCTGCACAGAGAAGGATGTTGTGTGCAGTCAGTGTGGAAGAAATCATAAATTCAGTGAGTGCCCTAATAAAGAAACAGCAGAATGCTGTAACTGTAAGCGGGAGAAATTGAAAGATATACGGCACAATGCTTGTGACAAAAAATGCCCTATTATACAAAAGGTTAGGCGGATGATAATCGCCAAAACAGACTATGGCGAGAAATAATAAAGGGATGATTGAAAAGATAAAGGTATTACAGTTTAATGTACAGAGATCGATTGGGGCAACTTCAGCAATGTGTAAAGCTCTGGAATATACGGATATTGCGATTGTGCAAGAGCCGTACTGTGTGAGAGGAGCACCTGGCTGCCTTAGAACCTCCTATAGAACGATTTTTGATAGTCGTACTCATCCAAAGGCGATGATAATAGTTAATAACCAAGATATACCTGTACTCCATCATGCTAAATATAGTAATAGTAGTATGGTGTGTATTGAAATCGGTTGTGGAGAAAGCAGTATTGTTATTGTAAGTGTATATAGTCCTATTACTGAAGAGTTAGGACCAGTGCTTAATGACTTAGATTGCGTAGTTACAAAATTTAGTAACAGAGGATTAATAGTGGGTGGAGATCTGAATGCCTACTCTGAGTTGTGGGGTGATCCGGGCAATGATGAACGAGCGGATCTTCTGTTGAATTTTGTGAGTTCTAAAGGACTTTTTATTTTGAATGATCCAACTTCTCTCCCTACTTTTGATGCTCCCATTGGAAGAAGCTGGATTGATATTACGTTGTGTAATGGAAGAGTACTGAACTTAGTTCGGAACTGGGATGTGGTATCAAGTAATAGATTAAGTGATCATAATTACGTTTTCATGGAGGTGGGACAATGTGAATGGATGAAAGAAGAGAAAGTAGCACGCTTTGCGGTCAATAGAGCAAACTGGGAGCGCTTTGATGAGGAGATGAGGGAGGTGATGATAGAAATAAAGTTGAACAATGTAAAGAGTAGGAAGGAAGTGGAGGAAATAATAATGAACTTCCAAGAAGAGTTAATTAGGGTGTGTAACCTTACGATCCCTATGAAGAAGAGATGTAAAAGAATGGTCCCATGGTGGACGCAGCAATTAAATGAAATGAGAAAAATGAATAATAGGCTAAGGCGGAGAGCACAAAGAGCAAGAAACGAACAGGAACGGATAAGAAAAAGAGTTGAATATTTGGATCATTGCAGGGCTTATAAACAAGAAATTAAGGAAAGTAAATTAAAGTCCTGGAGGGAATTTTGTAGCCAATGTTCCTCAAAGCCATGGAGCTATGTTTATAAGATGTGTGCAGGCAAATTAAAGAGACCGCAGTTTTATACAACGATTAGTGATAGTGATATCACTACAGACAGCTATGAAGGGACAATTGGCGCTTTTATTGAAGGGTTTTTCCCTATGGATGATCCAGGTACTGATACAGATATGCAATGCCAAGTTAGAATGGAAATTAATAAACCTTATACAGGTGTTCAAGACCCTGATTTTACAATTGAAGAAGTAGGGTACACTATTGAGAGACTGAGGCCTGGCAAAGCGCCGGGACATGACGGTGTGGTTGCGGACATCGTCCAAAAGATTTGGAGTATTAATAAGTGTTTTATGACGGATCTTTATAACCTGTGTTTGAGATTTGGAGTTTTTCCGGAAGTTTGGAAACGAGCAAGTCTTGTGGTGATTCCAAAAGGAGAGTATGTGGAGAGAGGACTTATTAAAAGTTTTCGTCCAATTAGTTTGTTGCCGTTATTAGGAAAGGTGTTGGACTATTTGGTCAGTCAAAGGATTTTACAAAGATTGGTAAAGAGTAATTATTTAAGTCCCAAGCAATTCGGATTTATGCCGGATAGAGCCACTGAGGACGTGATCTGTAAGGTGGTAGAAGCTATAAATGATATATTAAAGAATAATAAGTATTGTTGTGGATTGAGTCTAGATATTCAGGGAGCGTTTGATCACGCGTGGTGGCCTATGATTTTGCAAACTCTGAGGAAGGCTGAGTGCCCGACAAATGTGTATGAACTTGTTAAAGATTATCTCAGGGAGAGAAAGGTGATTCATGTAGCTGGAGGAACTATTATACAAAAGGCCCTAACAAGAGGGTGTCCGCAGGGGTCTAACTCTGGGCCCCTGTTTTGGAATGTGTTGTATGACAATTTTTTGAAGGTAGAAAAGGGAGAGGGGGTCTTAGAGTTCGCTTATGCGGACGACACCATCATTCTCTTCGGTGCCAATTCGAGAAGGGAAATTGAGAAGAGAGGAACTGGACTTTTAACAACAGTTGTGGATATAGGGATGGAGCTGAAGCTCCAGTTTAATCCCAGTAAAACAAAGGCAATTATTTTTGCACAAGGTAACACACCGGATCTTATGAAACGAACACCAGTTATAAAAATGGGTAATCAAAGTATAAAGTTGGAAAGTGAGATTATGTATCTTGGAGTGGTTCTTGACAATCGAATGACCTGGCTGCCACATGTTTTGGCAATCAGAACTAAGTGTACAAATCTATTTAATGCGTTGGCCAGAGTGGCCAGAAGGAATTGGGGGCTGAATGAAGAAGCTGTGATAACAATTTATGAAGGAGCGTTTGTACCGAAAATGACTTATGCAGCTGCGGCATGGAGTTATGCAGCAAAGAAAGGTTGCATTATTAAACATTTGAGATGTGCCCAACGAATGGCCTTGCTACGTGTCACTAAAGCATTTAGAACAGCCTCTACTGAGGCGCTAATGGTGGTTTCTGGTATTCCGCCGATAGATCTGGTATTAAAAGAAAGGACAAGAACTTTTTACTATAGAAAGGGCCTTCAGGCACATATGGAAGATGGAGATACAACATATCAAATATGTGAACTTAGACCGATAAATCTGGAGCTTCCAATGACTTATGAAAGGAAGAGTGTTGACATTGCAAAAGAAGAAGAAGAAGGAGAGTATAATATTTTTACTGATGGTTCGAAACTCGAAGGAAGGGTGGGGTCATCCTTTGTGGTTTATGAGAATGAGACTGAGATATGTCATGAAAATTATAGATTAAGGGACTGTTGCTCAGTTCATCAGGCAGAGATGTTTGCTATTATGAAAGCAGTTGAGTGGGTAGCCCTGACTCGAAGTACAAACAATATTGTGATTCATACTGATAGCAGAAGTGCTATTCAGACATTAATGCAGTTCAGAGATATAAGTCCTATAGCGTTGGAGGCGAAGAAGTTAGTAAGGAGATATAATTTGAACATGAAATTTAAATGGGTGAAAGCCCACGTTGGGATAATAGGAAACGAGAGGGCAGATGCCCTTGCAAAAGAGGCTACTGAGATGAATATAATATCATATGATAAAGCTCCAATTACATATATTAAAAGGCAGTTAAGACAAGAAACGGTAACAGAGTGGCAAGATCAATGGACCTACTCAGAAAAGGGTAGGTTCACGTTTTGGCTGCTGCCAAGTATACAGGAAAGGCTCTCAGAACTTGCATGGCTACCGAAAGGATATTTGATTACACAAATTTTGACAAATCATTGTAGTACAAAGCATTACCTTAAAAGAATAGGTAAAACGAATGACTCTATGTGTGTGTGTGGTGGAGGAGAACAAACGCTAGAACACTTGATTAACGAATGTCTTAAGTATGAACAGGAACAAATGCAGCTTCGGCTGTTTTCTGCCGATATTTATGGCATGCCAACTTTAGATTTATATCAGTTAATCAGGAATTCAACATTATTGCAGGAGATTAAGTCTCTCCTGCGAAAAGTTTTGTATTAGCTGGAGACGAGTTGATCCCAGCTGCGACTAGGGTCGCGTTATAGGGCAAAAAAGCTACTATGATCTGTATATATTGTTATTATTTATTTTTGTTGTTAGTTAAATAGTTTATGTTAAAAGTAATAAGGTTTAAAGTTAACGTTTCCCCTGTGGTGCTAGATGCGGGGCAGGGGTGCTTTCTGATCCCCGCGAGGGGAAGTGATGAATATTAATGAAAAAAAAATAAAATAATGTCCCTATCTACTTAGAGTGGACTTGTCCAGCAAGCTTGTGAGAGTGATCAAATCGAGCTCCTCAATATTCGATGTTTTCCATGGGATAATTTGTTCGCAGAAGGATTATTTGTGTGAATTCAAATTCTACTGAGTGCCCTGGATCCGGTGATACCAAATTTGGCCCAGTGGATTAAAAATTTTTGGCAAGGCAGAGGTGTTTAATATCCAGGATTACGGATCGATTTTCTGGACTATACGGGATCGTTTTTCCGAAAGTTATGACGGATCAAGGAACACCATCAATGTGTGAGTAACACCCTAAAATTTTATCCATTTCGGCCCAGCCGTTTTCGTGATAATTGACTTTCGTGTTTCAACTTCTCAGGCCCGCATCGGGCTTCCGGTTTGCCATCTTTTAAAAATTTATGTTTTATCGGATTACAGACTGTCTTATCTTCCTTTGGTGTGATTTTTATGTTTATATCTATTTTAGTTTTTAAGATATTGTAATATTAATTTTCATCATTGCTTCTCACTGGACGACTTGGGTCAATGACCTGTGTTGTAACGGCTTCCAACGGACTTTATAACGGCTCGTTCGAACAACAGACAGTTTGACGCCGATTGTTTACGGAAATCATCTTCACTTCCTGCTTTTGAATTCGTGTATTTATTAACGTGTATTTTTAAAGCTTGAATTTAAGCTATTTGTTATTTTATTTTATTTATCTTTTACTTTATTTTTTGTGTTTGACCAGGGGTTTTGGCTACGAGTTTTTTGTTTATTACCTCTGGAATATTGGTTATTATATAATATCATTTTCATGTATTTATATTACTTATAACTTGATTACTTTAATATTAGCTTTTAGTTCATTTCTTTTACTGTTATTGGTTTGACATACCAGTTTATTGTTTGTTATGGCTAATGACAGTTTACAGGATGACATTATTCTTTCTTCAGCCCTACTGGGCGACAACATGTACTCAGAATTTAGACAAAAGGCCTATGAGGTCCTGGGTGACTTAAAATGCTATTTGATTGAAAATAGTGGTTCCCGCATGGGAACAAAAGAACACTTCTCCTACATAATGGAATAAGGGCAAAGGATTATCGACATATTCGATAGTGGGGTGGCTAGTCAACAGTTTTTGGTGCTGCAAAGTATGATTTCAAAGCTTGCACCACAGGAAACAATACAGGAGATTAATGATACCTCCCACAAACTAAAAGCCGAATTAATTGAAATCAAGGAGACATTGAAGACACTTCCCGTACAGGGGCATTATCAAGATGAATATACAAACCAAAGAATGGCTTCATTGGAGAACCTTATGAGTAATGCGGCTACACGGAGTGATGTCGATCTGACATTACGCGCTACGAAAAAGCTGGAGGAGGAGATGTGTGAGATCAAACAAGTATGTAAGAATATCAGTAATACGGCATGTCAGACAGAAATGAAACCCTTGTATAGTGATATAGCTAAAAAGGGAATGGGTAACCCCAGATATCCAAACACAATTCGTAGCACGCTCCTTGTCTACCCAAAAGATAATAACAATGGATCTGATNATAAACATCAGTTTGGCTTTCGCAAAGGAACTGACACAACGGATGCCATCACCTCAATGATTACTAAGGTTAATGAGCTTCTTACTACTCACCCATATGTGCTTGGCATAAGTTTGGATATTGCGGGGGCATTTAATTCGGCCTGGTGGCCAATTATTCTTTATAGGATTAAGCAGAGTAATTGCCCAGCTTATTTATATAATCTCATAAGGGAGTACCTTTCTGACAGAACATCTACCCTTTGTGTGGGCTCATTGTCATTTACTCGCAAGAATACACGTGGTTGCCCGCAGGGCTCAGTTTTGGGGCCATTCTTGTGGAATTTGTTATTTGATGATTTTCTAAAGGTGAATTTTGGTAATGACTGGACTGCAGCCTATGCAGACGACGCAATGCTGTTGGTGGCGGCCTACTCAAGAGCCGATATAGAATTAAAGGCCAATTCTATCCTGACTAAAGTTAAGGCTTGGGGTGACATGAACAAATTAAGATTTAATACAAATAAGACTAAGGCCGTTATTTTCTCCAGGCCAAGAGCGCAACACCTTTATAAACGTGTACCCACTATACGCATGGATGGTGGTAGGGTGGAAGTGGTTACTTCGCTTAAATACTTGGGAGTGATTATTCACCATAAGCTTTGCTGGATTGAACACACATACTATATCTGTGATAAAACCAATAAATTATTCAATGCATTATCAAAAGTAGCTAAATCAAAATGGGGGTTGTGCCCTGAGATTATGAGCATTATTTATGACACAGTCTTTTTACCAATTATCAGTTATGCTGTCCCAGCTTGGGAGAATGCATTGGGCAAAACGCATATTAATAGGAAACTGTTGGGAGCACAAAGGAGGGCCCTACTGCGAATCTGTAGATCCTATTCTACAGCACCCACCACATCCTTACAGGTTATTGCTGGAAAGATGCCGGTGACCGTATACTTAGAGATGGTGACACAGCGTTGGAAAATGAGGAAGCATCAGAATATTTCTGTTAGTGGTGCGACCTATGACAACATAGAAAATGTGAATAAGTGTACCCCCTGTGTTCCACCTAATAGTTGGCCTCTTATTAAGGAACAGCCTTGGCAGGATCAGATTTACAGTGTTTTTACCGATGGATCACGGAATAATAATGGCGTTGAATGTGCATATGTAGTTTACAAGGGTAACGAAGAAATCTACAATTCCACTGATAAATTAGGGAACAATTGCTCCGCATTCCAAGCCGAGTTGTGGGCTATTCGTCAGGCCATTGGATGGTGTAACAGGGATATAAGTGGTGCCAATGTAAATCTGTTTTCGGATTCAAGATCTGCTATACAGGCAATACACAACTATCAATGGAGACATCCTATTATTTACGATATCCTTTGTGAATTAACCAAAAATATAAATAAGTATTCCATAGTCTGGGTAAGAGGGCACAGTGGCTTGCTGGGAAACGAACGTGCTGATGAACTGGCTCGCGCTGCTTCTGTCTCTAATAGTAACCTGTCCTACACTGCGATTCCGCATAGTTACATTATATCCTGTCTGAAAGATAAAGCTATCCATACATGGCAAGATTCTTGGAACTTGCAAAACAGCAGTATTACTAAAGATTTCTTTCCTGTGGTATGTTCTGACTCTAATCTCCCAATACTGCACAATATCACTCAATTTTACACGGGACATGGTAGATTCATGAGCTATCTTTTTAGGATTAATAAGTCTACTGAGCAAAATTGCGAGGTGTGCTGTGTTCAGGACGGTGCTAAGCATTATTTGCTTCACTGTCCGATGCTAGAAGATAAAAGAAGCGCTTTGGTCTCCTTGCTGCCACCAAATAGGCATTTACCTGATAGTATACATCTATTACTGAGGGACAACAATCTCTTCATGGCTTTCAAGGACTTGGTAAGCGCATACTTTAACAGGACTACGATTATTTAAACTGTGTTGTTTCACTTTTTGTTTGGTAATATATGGAAGTTGGACCTTCATGAATCATATTTTAGTCAAGAAGAACTGCTAATGAAGACCTGCGTGGAATTAATGTTTGTGTCCAGCGATACTTGTTATTAACAATTTGACTTTCATTGTGATTTTTGCCCTTATATACACATGATAATATTCTTTTCATTGTTCGTATTTTATTCTTCTGTCGCGGTTAGTTGCAACTAATTACTGTCTGTGATGTGACATTGAGTTCATGGTTTTTTTTTTTTTTTTCTTTTTTTTGGGATTGTACATTGTACATTGTACTTTTACACTCTTTCTCTGCTCTGTAAACATTGGCAATGCTGCTTATGTATTATATGATCAGAAATTTAATTGTCACGGTAACTACTTGTATTTACGGTTTCTTAAGTACTTAAATATGTACAGTCATTTGTGGTGGTATTGTTGAAAGGCTCAACTATGTACATAACTGTACACAAACGTTGTACATATGTTTCTTATTTTGTTCTTCATTTTACCCAACGATTTTAGACATCAATGTATAAAATGTAACAAATCTTAGTTTTCCACTCCAGAGATGCCATGCGGTTCTGGAGCATGCATAAATAAAGACATTAAAAAGTGAAAAAAGTGAAAAAGTGTCCCTATCTACTCTCCTCTAAATGGGGGTCCATTGCTTGTGCCCAAACTCGCAATGGCCCCAACTCGTACGTACCAGCCTTGTCGTGGCAGAGGGGCTCAGTACCCAGGGGAAATGCTGTAATGGTATTTGTCCTGGGAAAGCTAATGGTACGGCGGGGGATTCAGGTGTAGGTTGGTGTTTTGTCCCGCGGTGTAGGCTTGGTTCGAGACTTCCGGGGGAAAGGGTTGAGGGCAATCCCCGAGGGTACAGGATAAAAACTGGGGGTGGTGCACCTGGGGCGCCCCATAGTTAGGGGCCCGGTGGAGCCTAGCCAGCATCCATTGGCCGCCCTGATCAGGGGGCAAATAATCTCGCGCTCTGTCGGAGTGCGGAGTGGCGCCCCGTTCAGGTCCCTTCGGCAGAGCGCGGGGCCTATCCCGAGGCCACGGGGGTTGCCCTTGGCTCCTTTCTTAGGCTCTGGGGCTGGACCGGGTGTGTGCCGTGGGGCGGGGGTTGGGCTGCATCTGGGTCTGGGGGGATTTTTGGGGTTTATTAAACTAAAAATATGAATAGTGCCAATAAAATAAAACGATTACAAGTACCAGGGGTGCGGGGGGAATTACCTGATTCCCAAACTAAATTGAAAAGACGTAGTAAGAGTGTAGAAGTTGAGGGAGAAGATAATTTTAGTATAATGGATCATGTAGGACAAATTATTAAGGATTTGAATAGTTTATGTTCGCAAAAGGACCAGCGATTTAGTAAGCCAGTAATCAAGACTTTAAATGGTTTATTTAATGAGATGAAGGGGTATGTCTATAGATTAGTACTTGAAAATGAAAATTTAAAAGGTAAATTAAGTACAGTAGGAGAAGAGTTAAATGATAGAACGTTAGCTATAGATACATATGCTAGTAAGTTGAAGAGCAAGATAGAGGTGAGGGAAGAAATTGGTAAGGCAAATAATGTGGTATTAGTTAGAGGTTCTAATAATGAGAGTAGTGATACCATCAAACAAAAATTTTTGGCTAGTATAGACCCACATAAGGATTTAGTACGTATAGATGGAATTCGTAAAATGAAAGAAGGTGGAATAGTAGTTACTTTAGCATCAGACGGAGATAAGGTAAGAGTGTTGGAACATAAGGAGATTAGTAATGCCAAACTACAAGTGCAAAGTCCTGTTAAATGGCGACCAAGAATGTTGTTGGTAGATGTACCTAGGGTTTTAGAAGATGATGATCTGTTGAAGGTTATTTTGGCATTGAATTTGGATTTGTTGTATGGAAGTAAGGATGTTGATTTAGAGTATTTGAAACAAGATTTTAGATTGTTATATCGAGTGGGAAAACGTAGAGAATTATTAGTGAATTGGGTTGTGGAGGTTTTTTCTCCAGAATTACAGAAGAGAATTTTAAATATCTCTAAAATTTATGTGGATTATCGTAGTTGCCCAATTAGGGATTTTTATGAAATTACACGATGTTATAAGTGTCAGATGTATGGACATATAGCTCGTAATTGCAGACAACTGAAGGAGGTATGCTATAAGTGTGGTAAGGAAGGGCACCGGGGACGAGATTGTGAAGGAGACGTCCAGATTAAGTTATGTATACCTTGTAAAAAATTAGGGAGGCCTCATAGTCATAATTCTGGTTATAAAGATTGTTATGCATATCAGGTCATGATCTCACGATACAAACGTTTTATAGATTATGGGTAAGGATTATTTTCGAGATTATATTAGGATACATCAATTAAATATGCAAAGAAAAGCTTTGGTTCCGGGTGAATTAGCTATAATCCAAAAGAACATGGACGTCGATATATTACTTCTACAGGAGCCCTATGTTGTTAAGGGGGGGATTGTGGGTTTTAGTTCTAGATATCGGATCTTACGGAGTTTATTGCAAACTCCGTGGGCATCCATTATTATTTTAAATAGTGCATTATCTGTTTTATATATGGATCATTTGTCCTCAGCCACTTGTGTAGTGGCACAAGTGCTCCATGAGGATTTTTCATTTTATGTTGCCAGCATTTATTTCTCCCCTCATGATGACATAGAAGAGTCGTTAGTGGAATTAGAGAATGTTATGGTGAACTTAAAAAGGAGAAATGTTGTTATAGGTTTAGATTCCAATGCTAAGTCCCCCTTGTGGGGTTCGGAGCAATTGGATAGTAGGGGTGAAAGTTTAATGATGGTTTTGGTTAAGTGGGATTTTGTTGTTATCAATGATCAAAATATAGTTCCAACATTCTCGTCTACTAGTGGTAGCTCTTTTATAGACATAGTTTTGGTATCGAAGAATATAGTGCAAAATATATCTGATTGTGTTGTAAGCAAAGATAGAATTACTAGTGATCATGCTTTAATTTCGTATAAACTTAGTACAGGGACGCTTCATAATTATCGGGTAATTGTGTATAGACATAGGAATATTAATTGGAATAGATTTCGTCAAATGGTTAAAAAGTATATGGAAAACCATAAGGTAATTTTATTAGAGGATAAGAAAGATGTAATATTATTATGTGATGTAATTCAAAGGGCATTACAATATGCAATTCGTAGGGAATTAGAGGTTAAAGAAATTAAATCGACAACTCCTGTATGGCGGAATAATGAGATAGATAATTTGCGTAGGGAAGTTATTAGAAGTAGGAGGCAATTTCAACGTGAAAGAGATTTGGTTTTAAAAGATATAAAGCTTCAAATTTATAGGAATAGAAATAGATTATATAAAAAACGTGTTCGGGAGATTAAGTTAGTTAGTTGGCGTAATTTTGTTAATGGGATTACTATTAGGAATATATGGGGTACTCCATATAAAGTGGTTTTTGAAAAAATTCCATGTAGACAGATTATAAGTTCTATAAGAGTTGATGGAGGATATAGTCTAGATTGGAGTACGGCTGTTCAGGAGATAATTAATAAATTATTTCCTAACGATAATTGTGATTTGGATTCAGAACAGCAAAAAATAGTACGAGAGGAGAATAATGTGTATAAAAATAACAAAGTTACTGATAGTTTTACTATGAGGGAATTATTGAAAGTTTTACAGCAATCAAAAGGTAGGAAAGCACCTGGAAAGGACAGGGTTACGTATGAGGTTATTAAGCAGTCATTCTCAATTATTGGGATAGATTTACTACGGTTATATAATGCGTGTTTGCAATTTGGGATATTTCCTGGTGTTTGGAAAGAGGGTAAATTGGTGATTGTTTTAAAAGGAAAGAATCGTGATAGATCTAATCCTAGGTCTTATAGACCTATTTGTTTGTTGGGGATGTTAGGTAAATTATTTGAGCGTTTGCTTAAAAATAGGTTACATCTGTTAATGGTTAATGATGTAGATAAAGATCAGTATGGCTTTGTTAAAGGCAGGTCGACGGTTGACGCGATTTGTCGTCTGCGTGAGATGGTCAGGGAGTCGACTTGTAAGTATGTTTTGCCTATCTTTGTAGATGTGTCTGGGGCTTTCGATAATATCTGGTGGCCTGAAGTTCTTCGGTCCTTACGTATAGCAGGGTGTCCATATGATATGTATACTGTTATTAAAGATTATTTTAGTTTTCGAAAGGTTTTTTATGTAGAGGGAACAATGAGTGAATTTAAATGGGTTAATAGAGGTTGTCCTCAGGGGTCTGTTTTGGGACCTGAAATGTGGAAATATGTTTTTAATGGTATATTGGTAAAGTTAAGGAGTATTGGGGTCAGTTTCGTTGCCTATGCTGATGATCTGGTCTTGTTGCTTGAGGGAGACTCATGGAGGAATCTTGAGATGGTAGGGCAGAGAGTTTTGGATACTTTGGGCGATTGGTTATTTGATATTAAGCTTACTATTGCACCGGAAAAAACGGTGATGGTATTGCTGAAGGGTTACCTCAGCCCGGATCGCCCCCCAGCTTAAAAATGCGGGGCACTCCCGTCAAGATGGAAAGGACGGTCCACTACCTGGGGGTTACCCTGGGGGTGGGCACGCGCCTTGTCCCACATGTAGACGGGGTTTGTAGAAAAGCCATTGTTCAGTTTGGTAAAGTTCAGGGGCTTACAGGCGTAGAGTGGGGGCTTAGGCTCACATCTTTGCGGTACCTGTATACAGCCATCTTTGTGCCTATTGTCACTTACGCGGCTGGTGTGTGGGGCGACGTGCTGGGGGCCCTTCAAGTTAGGAGACTGGAGCAAGCACAACGTATTGTGCTTATTATGATGTCTAGAGCGTATCGAACTGTGTCCACTCCTGCCCTACAAATGCTTTTGGGCTTGCTGCCATTGGACCTTGAGGTAAAATATGCTTATTTTAGGTATTTGCTTAGTAAAAATAGGTCCTTTGATGTGGGCTCCCTCCGGTTTCGGCCAGAACAAGTGGTGTATAATAGGAAATATATGTTAAATAGAATTAGAAATGAGTTAAATATCATTTGGAATGATAGATGGGTAAATGAGAATCGTGGCAGGGTAACGTTTAATTTTTTCCCTTCTGTGCGGCAGAGGCTGAGAGCTGTTTGGGTTATTCCAGATTATTATGTGTCTCAGATACTTACTGGGCATGGTGATTTCCGTAAGAAACTATTTTCTTTCGGGTTGGTTATGGATGATTGTTGTGAGTGTGGGTTGGAAGACTCTCTGGACCATTTTCTTTTCGACTGCCCTTTGTTAGCTGAGTTACGAAGTCAGATTGAACCTTTAATTAAAAATAGGAATTATGGGGATTTAGTTAAAAATGTATTGTATGGCAAAGTTTTCCCTGTTTTAAAATCTATGTTAAAATTGAGAATGAAAAGGCAATTATTATATATTTAAGATTCTTTTATGTTTTTACTTTTTAAATAGTTATGCTGTATATAATTATACTTCTACACTTTATGCGGGGTTTTTCTTATATTAATTTTAGTGGTTTTATTATTGGGATTTATTGTGTTTAGATAATTTTAGTTTTAGAGTTTATTTTATAATTATTTTGTCTAGTTGTATAGTAAGTTATTAGGATAGATGTTATATAGAAAGTTAGCTGTTAGATTGGTTAATGTTCCACTGATAAACCTTTATAAGGTAGGTGCAGTGGAAGAGAATGTTGGACTTCTTGGGACGATTGTCCCTATCTACTGGGGCCAAGACCCTAAGCGATTGTGAGCGACTATTTTGAGTATATTAAAGCGATTTTGTGTTCTATACACGAGTGTTCTAAGTGTCATCGACACTTTCTTCTTTTGTCGAACTCACGCTTCTTGTCTCCAGCTGCACACCTTCTCGTGGTGGCCCTGTTTCCCCGTCTTTGGGGGTACTAAGTGCAGCTGCATAAAAGGCAGTTTTCACTGCCAACTTTACCTATTTCTTATCCTAACTACTTCCTTCTTCTTTCCTCTCCTCCTTACTTCCCCTGGTAGGATGGATGGAGATGAGGATGAGGGACCCATCACCGCGGACGGTGACCCGATGATGGTGGGTATGGAAAAGCTCCTGCAGATCAGGGGCTCCCTTGTCAATTACATGGAATCCATCCCGAACTCGAAATTCGGGACTAAGATCCATTCTGGTGCTGTCCTCGACTTCTTTGACGAGGTAGTGAATATATTTAAGGAAGTCTGCAAACCGAGAGAACAGACAAAAGATGGATCGTCTAATAGAAAATAGCAAGACGGCTCGTCATACACCGACCTACGCAGAACAAGTCGCCAAACCTACGCAGAACAAGTCGCCAAACCTATGCCGAACCAAGGCTCTCACCAGACAGGGTGCAGTCATCCTCGTCAAAAGTAAAGATGGTAGTGCCGATGCCGAAAGCATCAAAAACAAAATCAGAGGTGAACTTGACCCTAAGGCCTTAAAAATAGGCATTACAAGAGTACGTAAAATTCGTAATAAAACAGTCCTTATCGAGATAGAACGGAAAAGGGACGCTGAGCAAACTATTATCAATGAATTAAATAAGATAGAAAACATTACTGCAAGGACCCCAAAGAAGTCTTTGCCTAAGGTGGCCATCTATGGTATCCCATCAAACCTAAGTAAGGAAGTTATCATAAACACGATATTTGATCAAAATGACAATATATCTGCCCATTACGATAACAATAAAGAGAACTACGTTAAAGAAATAACGGCAAAGTTTAAGTGGGGGAAAAACCCTAACACCCACCACTGGGTTTTTGAAGTCACCCCAGGGCTAAAGAGAATCCTGATAATGCAGAAAAAACTAAATATAGACTGGGTCAGGTGCAGCGTGGAGGAGCACTTCAGCATTATTCAGTGCTACCGCTGCTGCCGTTACGGGCATTTTGCAAGGGAGTGCAAGAGCGAAAGGGCCTTTTGCAACCACTGCGGAGGTGACCACCGCTATAGTGAATGCAAAAATAAGGGCACTTCCCCGAGCTGCATTAATTGCATCTGCAGCAAAGCGGCTAATTTCGCTCATAAGGCCAACCACAATTCCTGCACTGAGCGGATGAAAGTTATCAAAAACATAACAGCCAAAACCTATCATGGTTAATAGTGGCCACATGGATCATGGTAGCAATAACAACGATAACAACCGCCTTAATATTGTTCAAGTAAACCTGGGGAGGGAGATTGCTGCGGTCTCCCAGCTGGTGGCCAACACCACAAGCGGGGCTGACGTCCTCCTCATCCAGGAGCCTTACCAGTGCAGGGATGCGGCCTATGGGTGGCCTATTCGCATGAAGCAATTCTATCATTGCCCGGCCAGGCCCCCCTGGTCCATGATCAAGATCCTCAACACTAACTTGAATGGTTTACTGCTTACAAACTTTAGTAATGAGCACCAGACCTTTATCGAAATCAACACTAATGACGGCCCTTGGGTGCTGGGCTCAATTTATGTCCCCATGGAAGCAGACATGGACGAAGCCCTACTAAACGTAGAGGCGCTCCTCAATATTTATAAGACAACTCACAACATGCTCATCGGGGGTGACGTGAATGCGCACTCATACCTTTGGTATGAGGATGATACCGATGATAGGGACAAACTTTTCGAATGCTTTATTAATGAGAAGGATATGTTCATATTAAATGAGCCTGGCAACCTTCCCACGTTCGAATCTAGTAACGGCTCTTCGAACATCGATATTACAATCTGTAACAGCACCGCTCTCAGGATGGTCAAGGGGTGGGAAGTCCGGGCAGACGCCACCCTCTCCGACCACCGCTATATTTGCTATCACCTCACCGGCACACAAGAGGCACAGAACATCAACAAGTTCAATCTTAAAAGGGCTAACTGGGGTGGCATTATCAGCAGCCTCAAGAACTTCACTTTTGACAACATTGGGAACAAGTACCTAGCCACTGAAACACTGAATAAGTTTATCAATACCCTTATGGAAGCACATGAAAGACACATTCCGAAGTATAACGAGAGAGAACGCATTGTTAAATGGTGGAACAGTGAGCTTCAACAGCACAAGAGCAGGTTAACTGCCAAAAGGAGAAGGTATCAAAAGTGCACCGATGCTGCCCAGAAGACAGTATGGCGTACTAGCTACCTGGTGGAGCAGAAGCAATACAAAGAGCACATTAAGACTGTCAAACGGGAGAGCTGGAAGAGCTTTTGTACGGAGTGCTCCAAAAACCCATGGGGTATTCTGTATAAGCTCGGCACACGGAAGCTCAAGAACAGGCTCCAACTAAATAATATCAAGAACAGTAATGGTGAACATGCCTCTAATACCAAAGAGAGTTTAAACACTCTCATTAATGAGTTCTTTAAGGTTGATGATACGGGCACCGATGGGCCCAGACACATACAGGTGCGAAGGGAGTTAACATACACCTCTACAGGTGTGGACCATCCTACTTTTACCAATGGAGAAATCGATTGGGCCTTGGGGAGGACCCGTAAAGGGAAAGCCCCCGGCCACGATGGGATCAAGGTAGAATTTATCCAAGGTCTTCACAGCAGGCTCCCCAACCTGCTCATGAACCTCCTTAACTGCTGCCTAAACCATGGCATATTCCCAGCTCAGTGGAAAATTGCCAGGGTGATCCCTATTTACAAAGGGAACATGAAGCCGGTAGACGAGGCCACGAGCTATAGGCCTATCTGCCTCCTCCCATCTCTGGGCAAGCTCCTTGATAAATTAGTTACGAAAAGGATCACAGAGTGGATTAACAGCACCAAGCCACTAGACAGCACTCAATACGGATTCAGAGAAGGCTGTAGTGCTGAAGATGCGATCCATAGGGTCGTGAGTGAGCTAACAGCAGACCGACGAAACAACGCCTAGACAATAGCTATTAGTCTGGACATTCAAGGGGCATTTGACAATGCCTAGTGGCCCCTTTTACTGTCCAACCTCGAGAGGCGGCATTGCCCGAAGAACTTATATCATCTCATTCTAGATTACTTCACTAACAGGAAGGCTACCCTATCCTACGGGGACCTTTCTGTCAATAAGACTGTTACCATGGGGTGCCCACAGGGTTCCTGCTCCGGGCCACTTTTCTGGAGCCTGATTCCTGATGACTTACTTACCCAAGACTTTATGAAAGCGGCTCATACGACTGCATATGCAGACGACATTATTATAATTTTAACTGCCAAGAACAGGAAGCAACTCGAATCCAATGCGAATAAAATTCTTAAAAAGATACAATATTGGGGAGCTGATAACAAATTAAAATTTAACCCAAGCAAGACCAATGGTATTGTCCTCACGGGGTATAGTGTGGAGAAGAGAGCCCCCACTATCCATATTGATGGCACCCCAATAAAAATCAATAACACCATGAAGTATCTGGGGATTGTTATAGACGATAAATTAAGCTGGACCCCTCAGGCGGAGTACCTAAGGGACAAGGTTAACACCCTCTTTGCGTGGTGTGCAAAGGTGGCTAAGAGGGACTGGGGCCTCTCGGGCGAGTCCCTTAAGCTTGTGTACACGGGAGCCGTCCTCCCCATGGTTACTTATGGGGCGGCCGCCTGGGGACACACAGTCCAGCATGTTCATATCCAGCGAAAGCTGCTATCTATACAGAGGAAGGTCCTGCTCCGGATCACGCGAGCTTATAGGACCACCTCAAACGATGCCCTGCATGTCCTGGCAGGTGTCCTCCCGCTCGACCTAGCTGTCCAGCAAAGGAAGGACTTTTACTTTCTGAAGGTGCACCACCGTACGCCGGAGTATCTCCCTGATATTCCACTGGTGGAGAGCCCGGTTCATGTCAATAACAGGCTATGTATCAGGGAAATCCCCATTATTAGGGTTACCAAGTATAATGCCAAGTATAAGAAGAATATCTATACTGACGGCTCCAAGAGTTCTAACGGTGTTGGCGCTGCCTTCACCTATTTCTACAACGGCAAAGAGACCTATCATCAGAAGTGGAGGCTGGGGGACAGTTGTTCAAATTACCAGGCGGAGCTCCTAGCCATCCACAAAGCCGTCCATTGGTGCCACAAGGTGCATCACAAGAGCACTCTCAACATCAACACTGATAGCCAATCGGCACTCTCAGCAATACAGGACAAAAACAATACTGACTCTCTAGTCCAAAATATCTGGAAGGAGCTAAACCTCGGAAGGAATAATAATGTGATCAATTTCAGCTGGGTTAGAGCACACTGCGGGACCACAGGTAACGAACGTGCGGATAATCTAGCCAAAGAAGCAAGTGCCCAGTGCACGACCGTCGCATACAAGAAAACGCCGAGGAATAATGTTAAACACAGAATCAAGGTGCATTATATCACTCAATGGCAAGAGCGCTGGCGCCACTCTACCCGGGGGCGCGGCCTCTACTCCTTTATCCCGGACATACATCAGAGAATGAAGAATAAACACTTAGTGATTAACCACCACACCACTACTTTCTTCAGTTACCACGATGACTTTAATGCCTACCTCTTTAAGTATGGCCACTCATGGTCCAACCTCTGCGCTGTGTGCGGCAAAGTCGAGGACCCGGACCACGCTATATACGACTGTATCCTGTTCGAAAGAGAGAGATTGGAACTTAGAACTATCACTGAAGAGGAAGGCTTACAATGGCCAACGACGAAACCTTCTATGATGTGTAACAAGAACCTCTACAGGACTTTATATGAACTGATTAAGAACTACAGCAAGTACAAAACGAACTATAGCAACCTTACAACTGTGTAAAGCGTCAGACACGACCATCAACAAGCAGCAAAGTACTCCGGAAATGCGGAGATTGTAGTATATGTCGCGATTTATTATATATGTGTATTTTCTAGTTTACTATTTTGTTTATTATTGTTTTATGTAACCATCCCTATGAAGCCGATGCGGTATAGGGATTAATCAAAAGGGAACTGCCAACCGAGAAGGGACATAATTGCCCAACACGGAAGGCCTAGTTCCGACAATTGAAAAAAAAAAAAAAAAAAATTGTCCCTATCTACTGTTCCAGCTAGCTGCAGGCTGTGTGCATATCAAGCTCCCGGATAACTCGAGTTTTCGGTGGTTTTTCTTTGTGTTGGTGCGGTTTTTTTAGTGGATTCTGGTAGAACTAGTTGTTCTGCCTCTGCCGACGTTTGTTACACCTTCGAGGACCCATTATTTTTGGAGATATCGTCCTTAGAAATCAATAACTTTTCGACCGGTTTTCCGGACTTTCTGTATCCGGTTTTCCGGAAAATGCAACGGATTCCTTTCCGGAGTAGCCTGGTGAGTACACCCTCCAAATTTGGTTAAGTTAGGACCACTGGTTTTTCGGCAATCGAGCTTTTTCTTCGAAACTTTGCCGGCCCGCATCGGGCTCACTAACTGTCATCGGGATTTTTCTTTGGTGTCATCAGGAAGAGGACGTTTCTTCTGACTGTCTGCAAACATTTGAAGACAATATCTACAGTACTTTTTAAATTACAGCAATATATAATTATTAAACTTTTCATCACTGAGGAAGGTCAACAAACTCTAAGTGTAACGGCTTTTCTAACGGTCGCCGAGTACGTCATCGAATAACTGAATGAAATCAACGTACTTCTGGCAGCTGCTCGCTACTATCAACTAGTAACTTTGCATCAACATCAACGATGGATCTGTTTTGTGACAATTAACTTGTTTTCAGAATAACTTTGTATTGTGTGTATTATGTGTTGGTTGTAAGTAGGTTAAATAGATTTAAGTAGATTAATTAATTTTATTTCTATCTCTCTTCTCTCTGAACTGCTAGGTGATAACCTATCAGTGCAGAGGTTTTTTGGAACCTAGGTTCCCACTTTACACTGACACTCTTCAGCTTAAGGGCTAGGTATACAACATTTACACAAAGGTTGTAATTTTGTGTGTTTATGCTTTCTGGAAACATGGATGAATCTATTATTGATTTGTTTCTGAAAAATGCCTTCAGGATTGTGGATGAGACCAAAGGTTATTGTGCAGACGGCTCAAACAGACGATTGAGCTCTGCACAAAATATCAGATTTGTTGAGGAACAGATGAATAGAATTATTGACCTTGCAATAAAAAGCATTAAGGGAGATCACATTTCCCTAGAGAAAGAAAGTGAGGAGACCAACGCGATGGGTAATACTCCTGGCTCATCAAGGACAATACAGGGATGGAAAGGATCGCAATTGCAGAACAGTGATATCTTCTGCACTGGTAACACACCACCAATGCCTATACTGCATCCTCCTAGAACCATTACCACACCTCACAGCAGTCTGGAGGAAATTTCTGAAAAGCTCGAGACAATATTGGAAGGAAAGCTTTCCATGGTTGTTGAGGAAATCAACAAACTTTTCTCCCTAAATAATATAAGTGACATAACTACTAAAATGGACAAGATCATTAATAGCACAAAACATCAAGACATTAATCAACAACTAATGATGATGGACTCAAAACTTGATAAAATAGCAAATTTCGGGGAGCAAACGGGAAACAGTGTTGACCATCTCCTGGACAGGATGGACCTAGGGATCCAAATGACCCAGATGGAAGAACTTAATGAAAAACTGGGAAAGCTAATTGCAGAGGGACCAATGGAAGAACTACTGAAAATTCAACAACACATTGATAGGCAAATTGAACAGCTAAAGGAATACCCCCCTCGAAAACACAACGCACATACAGCGAGGTCCTTCAAACAGAGCCTGAACGGACTCCAAAGGCAAATAAAGCCACTAAGAAAAGAGCAGGGGTTCTACTCATTTACAATAAAAAAAGGAATTGTAATAAGACAAGGAAAACCCTGCAAGAAAAAGTTAATCCATCAAGTCTTAAGATAGGAATAAGCAACATTAGAAATGTTAGTGGAGGAGGGATACTGATCGAGACAAGAAACTGCGAAGATGCTGATGTGCTTCACAGGCATCTTCAGCAGGAAACCCCACACTTGGAGATAAGAAAACCAAGAAAACGCCTTCCACACGTGGCTATATACTCTATCTCAAGAGATATTCAAAAGGACGATCTTCCACATATTATCTACAGCCAGAACGATGCCATTTCTGACATTTATTCCAAGGAGGAATTCTACAGGGAATTTAAAGTTAAGTTCAACATGGGGAGGAGAAACACTAACTACGTGAACTGGGTTGTGCAGGTAACGCCAGGATTAAGGAAAAGACTGTTAACTATGGAAAAAATCTCCATTGAATGGTCAAGGAGTAAAGTATCGGACTTTTGTCCGGTACTTCAATGCTATCGATGCTGCAGATTTGGTCACTCGGCTAAATCTTGCAGCCAGGACTCCCCCACCTGCAGCCATTGTACAGGTTCGCATACATTCAAAGATTGTGTAAACAGGGATAATCTAGCAGTTTGCTACAATTGCAGGCAAAACAGAGAAAAGAATTATCATCACAACCCCAGAGATTACTCCTGCCATTGCTATGCACGTGTAAAATTGAACATTATTAACAGCACTGAATATGAATCAGCATATTAATAAGAAAATCCGATTTTTGCAGTACAACACTGACAGGAGTATTGCTGCCACCTGCATCCTGGCATCTAAATTGAACAATTACGACTTCTCTATTGTGCAGGAGCCTTACACAATTCAGAATCGTCCGGCATGTCTGCCAACCTCCTCTATCTCTTTGGCTGGTACTTCTGAGTACCCATGGGCAATCAATATTCTGCCCAACAACAATCTTTCTCTTTTACACCATGAGAACATTAGTACGGAATTCTTGTCTTGTACTGAGCTCATTTCTGACAACAACAGGTACATAATTATCAACTTCTATTGTCCCAAGAATACCGAATATGATGAGATCCTTAACAGCATCCAAAACTGTATGAACAATTTTTCCGACGTGTATTTCATATTGGCCGGAGACACCAATGCCCACTCCCCGACGTGGGGAGGAGAGCTGCTTGATCGCCGTGGGCAAAAATGGGAAGAATTCCTGGTACAGAATGAACTTCTCGTATTAAATGATCCATCTTCTCCCCCTACATTCATTTCCAGCCAGGGGCACAGCTGGATCGATTTAACTGCCTGCTCCATAGGCTGTGCCCCTCGGATCTCAGATTGGAAAGTACTTAATGATTCCATGGATGATCATGCCATGATCACATTTTCAATTGGCAGCAACTCAGACAATGATCATAGGTAAACCAGGTCCAAATATAATCTAAGGCAAGCCGACTGGAATGGCATCACCACTTTTCTACAAGAGAATCTGGTAAACTGCTTTCATGAGGATCCACACATCACCAGGGACCGCATTGAGGAAAATATTAATACCATTAATACTGTCTGCAACTCTTTTATTCCAAGGTATAAAAATAAACGTAAACCCGTCCCTTGGTGGACACCAGACCTTACGAATCAACGTCTTAGTGTTATTAACTTCAGGAAAAGGTACCAAAGACTTCACAGTGAACCAGAAAGATCCCAAGCCAAGCAGCAATATCTCACGCAGTTACGCACTTACAAAACCGCTATTAAAAAGGCGAAGCAGGACTCATGGGAGAAGTTTTGTGCAACTGCCGCAGAGAATCCATGGGGTTTCCTTACACGCTTCTGCACGGGGAAACTTAAAAAACGTCAGATTTTGTACTCTACAGACATTGGACAGAATTTTTATCAGGCTGCGAACAAGAAAATGGACCAATTCTGCCTACATGACAACATCCAGGAAGACACATACCTACACCGCTGGGTAAGAAATCAAACAGAGGAAGATCTGCACACCTTGAATTCTCCAGAGTTTCAGGAGCATGAAATTAAAAAAGCTTTTTCAAATTTAAATAATAAAAAAGCCCCAGGCTATGATGATATTTCACCAGAGTTAGCCAAAAATCTCTGGAATATTGCTCCCTCTTACTTTATAGAAATTTTTAATGCCTGCCTTTATCATGGGATTTTTCCTCGCCAGTGGAAACACGCTAGAGTTGTACCAATCCCAAAACCTGGCAGTTCGAGCAACTGCAGGCCCATCTCGCTTCTGCCTGTTTTGGGCAAAGTGCTCGAGAGATTAATTACCAACAGACTTATTTGGCATATGGAAAAGAACAAACAACTTAAAAATAATCAATTTGGCTTCAGGCCACAGCGATCTGCAGCCGACGCTATAGAAAAAGTTATTCAAACTGTCAAGAACTTACTAGAGAGCCACAGGTACCTCTTGGCCATTAGCATTGACATTGCAAAGGCCTTCGACAGTGCCTGGTGGCCAGGGATTTTACTTAATCTTAGAAAAAGAAACTGCCCAGCCAACATATTCCGCATTTTGAAGGACTATCTGAGAGAGAGAACAGCCGAACTCATTTGTGGCGGACATTGCGTTCAAAGGGAGGTGGGCCGTGGATGTCCCCAGGGCTCGGTCTGCGGGCCATTGTTGTGGACTGTCCAATTTGACGATTTTCTGGGGCAAACTTTTGGGCAGGATGAATTGGTGGCTTATGCCGATGACGCATTAGTCCTTGTAGGAGGAAAATCAAGGGCTGAGTTGGAAGCGAAGGGAAGTGAAACACTAAATAACATCATCAAATGGGGCATTGATAACAAGCTCAAATTTAATGCTTCCAAAACAAAAGGCATCGTCTTCAATAAACCGGGCCAGCAGAACCTATATCTAAGGACCCCAACTATTAAAATGCAAGGCCAATCTATAAACATCGAAAAAACTATCAAATATCTTGAAGTGATTCTTGAACATCGACTTTTGTGGAATGAAAATACTAAGTATATTACTGAAAGAACTGGAAGAATCTTAAACACCTTCACAATCATCGCTCGCAGGCGTTGGGGCCTTGCAACTGAAGCACAGGAAGCTATATATAATCAAATATTTTTACCCATCTGCACCTATGCAAATGGAAGT